AAAAATGACACTTGGTACAGTAGTTTTTCTTGGACTCTTCTTGGTAGGGTTAGTGGTATGACCAGAATGTGTTACTATAACCTGCAACAGTGCTGGTTTTCCGTTGGTAGCATAGCTGCTGATTTGTACTCTGCCCCTGTCTGATTTAAAACAAGGTGTATGTGACTTTACAGTCCTTGAATCTGAAACTCACATTTGTCTTGCCGGTATCAAGCTTGTGAATGCCACAGATTTGTAAATAGGACATGCTAACTGAACGTTGAAAAAGTAAATCCCTGATTATTAACAAAGGTGGTAGTTTCTTTGAGTGTGGGAAAAAAAGATTGAAAGATTTTAAAAGAAGTCAGAAAAAAGGTTTAACATTTCTTATGGTTCAGTAGCAGTAATAATATGAAAGCACTGCAATTGTGATTTCTTTCTTGAGCAGTAGAGCTTCTGATTCACTGAGGTCAGTCTGAGAAGTCTGATCTCCAGCCAGGGAGTGTTTCGTAGATAGGTTTTTCCTCTTTCCATGTGGTAAGACTAACCAGGGGTGATGAAAGATAACCATACGAAAATCAAGTTCTGGTCTGTCAGTTGCACAATTAAATATGAGAAGTGTTGTGACCAGAGGTTAAGGATGTTTTGTAGCCATTACAATGCAACTTAGAAGTGGAAAGGATGATGAAACACTTGTAAGAGAAATTGGCTTTAACACAGCTAAGCCGTTTCCTTGCTGTCTGTTCTGGGCTTCATATTAACAACAGACTTCATGCATGTGCTGGGAAGCATTCTTGGCTGTGGAGTCTTATGGGACAGCTTGCTAGTCCACAGCCTAGGTGCTTTTCACATTTTACTTCAGGTCCTTTGCTTTCCTTATCTTGTCAGTTTTATAAATTTATTTCTTCTTGCAAAAATGAAGAAAAACATTTGCATTTTGGTTTAGATGGATGGACAATATCTGTGTATTAGGTAAGCACTTAGTGGGTATTGTATTACAAAGGTAGTTTCACAGAGTCAGTTCTCAGTGTTTTTAGCCTGGGTTAATGCTGACATTCTGGTTCAAATTACTGCTTTTGGTGTTAGGGTTTTGATCCAGAACATTCTGGATTTTTTGTTTGTTTGTTTGTTTTGGGGGTTTTTTTCTTGTCTTTTTTCCTCTGTAGTAGTATTTGCATGCTTCTAAAAAGTAAGAGTTTCTTACAGAGCTCCCTAACTGCTATTTCTGTTTGTAGAGTCATCTGTTATGTGCTTCAAATTGTAGCCAGCTGAGTATCAATGAAGGACTGAAATCCTTTGGCCTTCAGGCTATTTCTAGGCTGTATGTCGCTGTGATGGTCCCAGAAGTTTTATCTGCTATTTACAGTTAAAAATGGCAATATTGGTTCCTGGGCAGAACTGTGCATAGAGTTACTGTGATATGCCATTCACTGGCACTTGTAGTTATGTCCATCTGGATTTCAAAGCCATTTTTCAGAAGGTGGGAGTAGTAAATAGTATGTAACAGTCAGGAAATTCACTAGACAGAAAGGCTTTGCCTTTGGAGACGCTTTTTTCCTGTGACGGTTGACTTGGACCTTAGTACCGAAATGCGGGTTGTGAAAGACTGGTGTTCGTTTTGACTTTATCTGTTGAGCTTCTGTTCTTCTGTAGTAAAAGAAGCTTCTCTTTCTGAGCAGCAGCAGAGAGAGTAGTATTTAAAATTAACCTTTTGGACGTTGTAAAATAGGTGTCTATCCTGTAGCAGTGATTCAAAGGCATCTAGGTTTTGTTTGGATGAAAGCTAGGTTAGAGAAGACACAGAATTGTGCTGCTCAGGATGAGGTGTCTGTTTTTACAGTTACAGCACTTCAAACAGGAACTTTGCACTGAAAAATACTTCTCCTTACAGGCAGTTCCAAGGCTGCATCTTTGCACTGGACAGGTGAGCGAGCTGTCAGTGTCCTGTTGTTGGGTCTCCTTCCTGCAGCCTACCTGTATCCTGGACCAGCCGTGGACTATTCACTGGCTGCGGCCCTCACTCTGCATGGCCACTGGTAAGCACAACAGGTCCCTCAGAATTAAGAGTAAAGTCATGAGGGCTCCAAGCCTTAGGTCTTAAATCTGTATATGACTTACTTCTCGATCTAGTATAAAACACCTGGAAAGAGTTGCAAATAGAGTCCTTTACTCTTGAAGTTCTGAGATTATCTGTGACAAGACTGGTTGTACCTTAGTCTTCCTTTGTCGCTGTGTTCTCTGAGTCAGAAAGCAGGATACACGTTACTTTTGAGGAATCCATACACATTTTCTAATGTTCTTCTATGCAGTATCTCACCCTAGCAGGACTTCCTTGCCACTGCCTTTGTAGAATCTTGGACATTTTTATCCTGTAGCAGAATTAATGTTGTATGAACAGAGGGAACAGAAGCAGGACAGATCTATTTAAAACAAGTTGTTCTTCTGAAGTTCTGTGTTGTGGGCTGGCTTTGTACATCTCAATGGTGATGAGATTCTGCATAATAAAGAGTTTGTAGCAAACACTCCACTAAAGAAGCTGAGACCTTAATTGTTATTTTCTCGATTCCTGAGAACTGGCTGCTTCTTCATGTTCTTAAGTCTACTTCTGCTGTGATCTTTAATGTGAGTAGGCTAGATGAGTCTAGTTAGGAGTGGGTTCAGCTGCATGGTTGGCCTCACTGGCAGCATTTACATTCTTGACGTGATAATGGTCTATAGTTCCTTGACACAGGGATAAAGCAGGTAAGCAACTTCATAAGCTGCCAGGTTTTCTTAAATCTGTTTTGCCCTCGTGAAGTTGTGTCAGGGATTCTTGCACTTTCCTCACTGTGACTGGGAGCTTCTTCCTGAAGCTCTCACTCAAGTCTAGTACAGAATTCATCTGAAATGTGGCTTTCCTCCTGTACTTTCATAGGTATTCAGTACTAGAAGATCTTTAAATTAAAAAAGAGTATTCTTCAGAAAAGGTTGATGATAGCACGTGAAAAAATGGATGTGTTTGAGCTGTCTTAGTAGAATGCCCACATAAACTGGGTGGATTTCAGTTAACGAATGCTTTTTCCCGATTCCAGCTTTTTTCTCCCTCTTGTTCTCTAGGGGTCTTGGACAGGTTATAACTGACTACGTCCATGGAGATGTACCCATAAAACTGGCCAATACAGGTCTGTATGTACTGTCGGCTGTTACCTTCGCTGGCCTCTGCTACTTTAACTATTACGACGTTGGTATCTGCAAGGCTGTTGCCATGCTGTGGAGCCTCTAAGATGTGACCGCGTCCCTGACAAACACGATTGTTCACTGCTGCCTCGGCTTCGTCGTACTTTTACCAACATGTTTAATGCAAAAGAAATGAATAATCAAGGATCCATAGTATGTGCATACTGCTGCAAGCTCGGAGCTAGTCTTTTAGAAGTAAATATCCGTCAGGTTTTGATTTATTACAACAGCAATGAAAATGTTAGAAAATCAAAAGATTTAAAGTGGATAATGTCCATGTGAGAGTGAGTTGATTTAAGCCGCACTGTAAATTGAGGGGAATTAATTACATCGATGACAGACTTAAAATAGCTGAAGGTAACGTTCCTTGTAATGGCAGCTTTAATTAATGTTTTTCTAACATAACTGTTGTTTGGTTTCCTGTTTTGTAAAACAAACTTTACTTGTGGGAAAAATGAACTGCTATTTCTGACGTCACAACAACTGAACTGTATGGAAGGCACACTCTGTAACTCTTTGGACCCTGAGAGTTAAGGCAGAAAAGGGAATACATTTTTCTTAACCCATACAATAAAGAATTTACAGAAATTGTGTGTGCGTGTGCTTCTGAATGACTTTTGCGATTTTTGGGTTACTTGAAGTGCTTTCTCTGCAGAGAGTATTTTGTTTTTTTTCTAAAATCAAGTTCAAACACTAATTCATACTGTTACGTGATTGTTCATGCTGTTACTCTGCATTACTTCATTTAGATGTTCTAAACCAAAAAGTATTTTTATGAATATGTCTTGTCCTTAATACTTAAAGAGGTGACTTAGACTTGACTTATTACAAGAGCAATGTCCATTAGAAAATACAGCAATAATTTACTTTTCCAGATGAATTTTAGGAGCCATAACTAGCATACGGCTTTCATAGGTTCCCTGCATGCTCACCTGCCACATGTTTTTAAGTTTGTTTTCTGGTGTGACTGAAAAGACAACAAACATACCCTTTCTATCAATAGCCTGACTTGCAACTGAGGCAGTGTTCTTTTCTATGTCTTTAGACCAGTTTAAGGGAGGAAATGAGATTCTGCTTTTAACTTCCTCTGCTGCATCTTTTCTGGCTCTCAAAGTAGTAAGGAGTGGTTAGCTGTTTCCACATTCCAATGGTATTTCTGTGGTACTATTAATAGCAAGAGACATGTGTGTTACCATCAGTCTGATTATGCAATAAACTGAGTAAGTTGCTGTTTGAATTCTACAAGACCATCTGATTTGATGTAATTTTTTTTAATCTGGATTGATATTTAGTTTACTTATTCATGTAACCATTGGAAATACCACACAGCTGGCCACTTTTGTTTTCCTAATTTTGTGGTCAGAATTGGTTTCCTTCTGTCTGATGTGGTCTAATTTAGGTATCAATGTAACATTTGTTATTTTGCCAGACTGAGGAAGATTCTTTTTTTTGGGCCTTCTGAGGACAAACAGCTTTATTAGAACTTTAATTGTTAAGGTAAGTTAGCAGTTTTCTAAGCAGAGATTTCCAGTAAGTTAAAAAATGTTTCTATTCAGTTGAAGTGAGATGTCACTGTGTAAATGAGATTGATGAAGACGCTCAGGAAATGATCTTGATGCAAAAAAGTAATCTCAAAGTGTTTATTTGCTAGGTGCATAGTCTGCTTGTAGAAAACATTCTGCTGCTGCTTTTCGCCCAGAATTTGAATTTATTTTCCTTTTTAAGACACTTGTACTGACCTATAGTAGCTAAAAACATAAAACTGGCTTGCATCAGATGAAGAAAGAATAATAAGATTTCTTTTATAAAAAGCCAAAATATATTTTAAAACTGTTGAAGTATGGCATAGGTAGTGACTTCCGTTCTGACAAGTTAGAAAGTTATCTTCATGGTTTCATCCACTTCATCTTTGCTTGACAGTTTCTTTAGAATTAATTTTCTTAAGCCGCCTTCTTCCTCAAAGGCCAAGAACATTCCTTGTTCTAAGGAGTATTCAAACTTAAATGCTCTGGAGCTACAAGATGTAAATGTCTTTTTGAAAAAGATTACATTACTTTCACCAGGAATGTCTTTGGGAACTTCTCCTTCCTGAGGTAGAAAAAGGGAATGAGTTAGTTCCCACGCAAGACGTGAGTAGTTTCTGCTCATACATCTGAATTCTGAATTTTGCCTACTACATACATGTACGTAAGGTATAGAAAGCAGATACTTACCTTAAATTGAACTATCGTTTTTCCACATTCTTTCTCACAACACATGTAATAACTTTTATCTTCGACCTGGACACTGAATGCAACAGGCATCCCTGCTGAAGGTGTGGTAGTTTTGTAATAGTGGATGCTGAAGTGCATTCCATTGCCTAAATATGAACAGTTATTATTAATAGTCTGCTCAGGAGAGAGCTGCAACAACTTAACCATGTTATATCTTACCATTTCACTGACAACTGCTGTCTTCCCAGGGTACTTTTCCTGACAGGAGAGCCAGGACTTGAATTTTTCTGACTGCTGGTAGCACATATTTGACAATAACCAAGCTTTTGAACTTGCAAGAAAGCATGTGAAGTTACCAGTTAGTATGGGGTAGGATGTTTAAATCCTTTTACACGCATGCATAAAGTGAGAATTGGATTTGAAAAGAGTAATCTGTTAATCAGGTTACATACGTATATGTGTGATCTGTAAATAAATATGTTCAACAAATACAGTTCTGAATGAATTGCTGAGTCCTTCTCCCTCTCCTCGCCCCCCCAAAAAAAAGCCAGAACATAAATACCTTGATAACTACTGCTGTTAGAAGAAAGTAAGAGCTAAATACATTTTCTGTTTAAATCTAAAATTAATTTTTTGTTACCCAGCACAAACAAGAAGATGGATTAACTATTTAGCTTGTGATCTTAGCAGCCCTTTTCAGCATGGGACATCCCGCAGCCCTCAGTCTAATCCAAGAATCTCATCCACTACCAAGGCACGATACATAAAATTTCAGCTCTCTTAGCTTAGCTTTATTCTTACAAATGGAAGTTTAAGTCTTTACTCTCAGTCTCATAATTTAGAGTCAGTGATTACAAAGAACAAAAGCACGTCTAGAATAAAGAAACATTGCAATGGTTGTAGAATACATTTGAAAAATGGAGTACCACATTTCATCTCCTGATCTGTCACATCTTCAAAAGCTGCAATGTTTAAGTCTGGTCGAACCACAAGCAACTGGCTATTTACATTTCGAAGGACTCGGTGGAGAATTTTTTCCTTAGAAAAGGCATCGCATTCCAGCCCTGCAGAAATATTGTTTTAGTTGTAATCTCCTCAGATCACTAGTGGATTAATCTTGACATTAAGGATACCAGGTGAAATTAGTGCCTAGAATGACAATCTCAAATGAAATGGAGGCCGTGTCATTCTTGCAGCAGCCCAGGCAAGACAGAAGGTTTTCCCAGAATACAGCAGTCTGCACATACAAGCAAGAGAAGCTACTGCATCTGTTAATGGGAGTTCAGAAGCAACAGTTCTCTCTTTTGCCCAACAATTAGAATTGCATTAAAAGGTCCTTCTGTTAGAGAAGCCACTACCCTGTACCTTAGGGGGAAATACAGCAACATCTGCTTCAGAAGGAAAAGGTGAGTTATAGCTCTCTTTTTCACAGTAGCCATTATCAGTTTGAAATCCTGTTCACTAAGGGCACAAAGCATTTGTGGATTAGTAAGTGTGGACAGGTTAGTTCAGGTAAAATTGATAATGAAGTTAATGAATTGTGAGCTTTCAGCTTACCATCGTCGTCTTGGTTCCAAGTGAGCAATGAAAAAAAAGGAAAGAAAAAATAACAACATTAAGCTCTGCCCCACAAAACCAAACCACAAAAGAAACCACCTACGCATTTCCAGTTGTACTCTCCAGTATGACTAACTCACCAAGCTTAACTGTTTGGCCTACAGAGTGTGTAGCATAACAACAGAGCGATGAAACCACCAGTCATTTGAGAACTGGAGCTACCACCAAACCAAGACACATGCAAAATGCTTTAGGGTTACTTAAGGGTGAGCAGCTCAGGTCATTTTAAGCCCATAACCAAGGAATAAATGGCATGCAAACTTGTTTTCATCAGCAGCTTAATTCTAAGTGAGCAGAAGGACAAGAAACAATCATTACAAATTGCTTTTAAAGAAGAGACTTTTCTAACTAACTTTATCCTATAAGATTGGAGGTTATCCACTTTTCCAAGTCCATAGTATTACAACCCTTCTGAGTGTAATTTAACAGGAGTGTATTGTCTGAAGCAACAAATACTTCACTGACTCAGATACATGGCTAATAATACTTCAAATAGAAGCTTATGGGAAAATTAGGTGAAATCAGACTGATGAAGGAGTTGTTTTCAATCAGTATTCAAACAGAAGAAGTTATCAAATGCTTAAGGTGTTCGCCAATGATCAAGGTATCAGCCGCTGACCTTCTATGCAGAAAGAAGACACTTTCAGCAGTGGGTAGTAATTACCTGCAAAATAGAGGCAGAAATTTTCTCCAAGTTGTACTGCGCACACAAGAATCTCTTCATCATTCATCTTCACTCTGCCAAAAACACATGGATTTTTGGGGATTCAGAGTTCAGAGCAATGCCACTTAGTCTGTAGGGCGAGGGAGTTCTTGGGCTAGTTCTCCTCTAGCACACAACGCTATAGTAGGGCTGTCGAAAAACTCAGCCTCTTTAATGGATAAAACAATGTATACGTTTAATGTATAAAGCAAAAGAACGGTGATGGTCATAAATTTGCTATACCCATTCCATTTACCTATAAGTGCACTTACCCTTTTTGTTCTATTGTCAAGATTCTAATTATACTGGTAGAAAAGAGATACTTCTGAACTGCAGGCCATAAGTGTCTCCATATCTTCAGTTCTAGCAGTGCGACAGGTTTTGGTTTAGTTTACAAACTATTGACTAAATCTTGAACTGTAAAGTCTAGTATTTTAGTAATTTTACTGCTGTTGGGATGGTTGCCATTGTAAAGAATAATTCTAATAAATAAGCACTGAAATATTTTTATATTAAAACTGATGATGATAAAATCTTCAAAATAGTATAATTGTGAAGATAAAATAGTATCTCCTACATTTAAAGAAAAGTAAGCATAAGAATAACGGGAAATAAAATATGACAGAGGAAGATGTGGCAAAGAATTTCATTCTTTCTCTTCTCTGGTGGTAAACAGTTTTAAAATGTCCTCTTCTATGTCACTAATTTTGTGAAATACAGATTGTTACTTTCCTTCCTGTTTCATTTTGGTCTGTAGCTTGGTAAAATTTTTGTTGATTTTCCGAAAATGCTTTCGGTGTATGAATGTTTTTACCCATTTAATCTACATTTTCAGAAATAAAGGCATTTTACTTTCCAAAAATAACTACCTACAGTACTATCTGCAAGATCTGATTTGCTTGGCTCATGTTTGGTGTAAAATTTTTGGCCAGATGCACAAAGTAACATGCACATTGACATTCGCCATCACTGCATCTAAACCTTTAGGAGCCCAGCATCCCTGTGAAGTCTTTAGTCTGGAGCTGTGTGCCTAGCCGCTGTACACGATACACGGCAGGAGAAAGTCACAGCAGAATGCACAAAAACTTGTTGATCAGACAACATCAAATAAACAAAGCCAACACCAGCGGTCATAAAAACACTGAAGTAACTTTTTGTTAGTCTATATAAAGAGTTTCATGCAGACCTACCAACTCCTGTCAATGCATTCCTTCACCTTGCTCTAGCCACAGAAATAATAAATGTAATAAATGTGTTAAAGCTAGGTAAATAATGGGAAGAACTCGCTCTTGCAGTCAAAACATCTAATTAGCTTCCAAGGCTCTTTTTCACCACCTGGAAACGGTTTATTATGAAAAAAAATTGATCAATGACAACGTATGTAAATAAGCACATACCAGCCTTAGGGCTTTTGGTGGGGGAAATCACCATGATTTCCGCATCCCTTTAGTAAAGCACTTTGAGGAATGTATTTGAGAGTGATTTTTTTTTTTTTCTCATCCTACTTTTTATAAGGTCTGTATTTGTAGCTGGTCTGTGCAGACGTCGTCTGTCGTATCCCGCTCGGCGCCCGTGCAGGAGAGGAGCCCGGCGCAGCGCGGTGCTCCAGCTCGGGGATGCCCGACAAGGGCAGGACTCTGCCGTTC